TTTTTTAGTTCTTCAAAACACTCACTTGCTCTTATGAAAGGACGATATAGACATGAGTGATCATTTTGAGGGTGAGAGTCCATACATAGATGCAGACTAAATTGCTAATGTTTCAGCCTTGTAGCTTTTCTGGGTTTCGAGATGCAAAATCAGTACAGACGCACATACATACACATACACACAGGCAACTCTCGACAATGTGCTTTTTTGCATTACATTGGATGCAAAAAACACATAACAACTTTAAGGCAAAACGTTTCTCATAACAAATTGCGAAGAGTGAAGACACTTGAAAGTGGTACAAATTTCAACAACAATCACCCCTTCGCAAAGCAGTTGATGGCCAGTTTTTCCGTAGGTTGCCCATAAGCAACTTAAGTGCAGTTTCGGTTCCTTGGCCTGTGCCCCAAACTGTTAAGAGACTGATTGCTCTGGGATGAAGTCTGACGATTGGTCAGTAGCACTCGCTACTTACTACTGCATTACATCTATCAGAAAATAATGACGGTGATTGAATATTTTTAAAAACTGTTAGTTTTTGGGAACATAACGAAAATCTACCATGCGTTCTTCTTGGAAGCGAAGGAGCGTTTGCCACATACGCGAGCTTCAGCTAATGTTTTAATTTTTTCAGGTAGTTCTTAGTTCGATGCACAAATACCGTCCGATTCTGTACATCTATAAGGCATACGCAACACCTGCTGTGCGTCTGGATGGCTCTACAGTTATCACTAATCAGTATCAGCTTGTGAAAACCTACAGCAGTGCAATTATGGAATTCATTGCCGTCACCGCATATCAGAATCAGCGTATCATACAGATGAAGAAAACGCACAACAGTTATGCACGTGGCCAAAGAGGTGCTTCCTGTGGGAAAATTTACGACACCGTAAGCAATGGTGCGCATATCTAACACGATTCTTGAATGTAATCGACTTTTCATGCGTTTTTGCATGCATGCAAATGCAAAAACGCATATTGTGACCAGCTCATTGCGTGTTTGTATATATGTTTGAGTATATGTGTCTGTCCTGGATCCCAACTCGTCAACCAAGTCGGCGCTGAAATTTTGGTCCCTCACCCCTATGGTCACGACCAAGTTCCATCCCAGGATCGCGATACTAATCTTTGCGCATGTCTGAGCCGGGCGAAGGGGACATGAAAGTTTCGGTGGGAAAACTGCTCATTGAGTAATCTGGTTATCATCAAAGAACGACTGCTTAGTGGAAAATTTTCATTTTCCTCAGCAAAATTTGCGACTATTTGCTCCAGTGAGTACAAGCAACAACCAGTTAAAGGCCTTATTGCTTTAAGTCTAATGCAAAAACGCATGGTCGCACCGCTACTTTAAAT